ATTGTTTGCCCAACCTTCTCTCGCCAAATGTCATATGTTTGGCGAGTGATGTTTTTCTGAGGTTTATTATTATTATTATTATTATCATTATTATTACCATCATCATTATTATTATTATCATCATCATTATTATTATCATCATCATTATTATAATTATCGTTATTATTATTATCATTATTATTATCATCATCATCATCATCATTATTATTATTATTATCATCATTATTATTACCATCATCATCATTATTACCATCATCATTATTATTACCATCATCATTATTATTATTATCATCATCATTATTATAATTATCGTTATTATTATTATTATCATCATCATTATTATCATTCTTATTATTATCATTATTATTATCATTATTATCATTATCATTATTATTGCCATTATTATTATTATCATTATTATTATTGTCATTATTATTATTATCATTATTATTATTATTATTACTATCATTATTATAATTATCGTTATTATTATTATCGTTATTATTATCATTATTATTATCATCACCATTATTATAATTATCGTTATTATCATTATTTTTATTAGTAGTTGTAGTAGTATTATTACCATCATCATTATTATTATTATCATCATCATTATTATAATTATCGTTATTATCATTATTATTATTATTATCATCATCATCATCATCATCATTATTATTACCATTATTATTATCATCATCATTATTATTATCATCATTATTATAATTATCGTTATTATTATTGTTATCATCATTATTGTTATCATCATCATCATCATTATTGTTATTATTATTATTATTATCCGAACAGAGACCTAATGTCAGAAATGGCATCATGACATTTTCCACTGGGCAATTAAGAAGCAAAAACACATGTTTTACATAGATAATGCCCTTCGGAAAGTGTGGGTTGTCCTCGTGAGAATAATAATAATAATAATAATAATAATAATTAATTATTATTATTATTATACTGCTTGCTCCTTCAATCCATACTTTGTTAGTTAACACGTGCATTACGTCCAGTAATAGCCTGTCTGTCTTCTGCCAACAAATTTAACTTGCCTGCCTCCTGCCCTCAAATACTTACTATAGCAGAAATGGACAGAGTAAATCTCTAACACTTTTGATTAACTTCCGGCAAGCCTCATTCTGAGAAGCGTTTGAAGCTGTACATATGTGTTTCTATAAAGAAAGAAATAAAGTAAGAGATGGAATGATAAAGGTAATGATAATAATCCTTTTTTAACATCTGCTTCGGTGAAATGGTATAGTAAATTAAAGTATGGAAGCCCGAAGTTGTTAGTTTCAGTAATGAAAAATTAGCAAAAACAGTAGAATTACAAGATGTATCGATCTGTAGGATTAAATGAAAAAAATGGCTTAAAAAACTATTCTTAAAAATATATTATAACGCGATATGCTGTATAAAGCTGTATGCGTGTTTCTTGAATGCTTAGATTTAAAATTTACAGACAATATGTATTGTTCTAAGCAGAAAACCGTGGAAATTTTCTCGGTTTCGCTAGCGATCATTATTACTGAAATGCACTTGGATTTCTTATAACTATGAGTTCCCGAAATTCGTCGATCAGTGTGAAAGTTCCTGTTCTTTTCATCTCGATTCCTGCAACGTCAAAGATAACAGTCTTTTATGGGCCTGGCCTTCCACTGTCTGCATCGATCTTTTCCAGCCCACCATTGCGACAGTTTTGCTGCCCGAGACAACGCCCTAGTGTGTACCTACCATGGCAGCTCTCCTTTTTCGCCGGACGGCATTTCATCTGAGAATAGTTTTGCCAAATCACGGCCTATCTCGCTCATTACTTCCGCCGAAACTGACTAACGTTTATCGAATTCATCAATAATTACCGCATCTCTTCTGGATGCCCCCTTTGCACCGGGTCCAAAACCCGACATCTTCAATGCATTTTTCTTTTAACTGGCATCTTAAGAACTTTTACGAGACATATCTAAAAGGTTCGATCTTCCGAACATGACAGAACTTTTCCATTGTCTAATCAAACGTCCACTACGAGGCAATTTGGAGACAGTAAGTAATAGAATAGAAACACTCTATAGTGAAGGGTTATTCGAAAATTGTACTTTATAACTATGGCTGCTAAGGCATTTCTTGGGTCATCGGATAGGACCGTGGTTATCAGGTCTTAAAGTGAAATCTGTGCGGCGGGTTCAAATTCCGGCTGAGGTAGTTGCGTTCACTTTCACGCAAATAACCTTGAGAAATGTATGAATCTACATCTTTTTCCCCATTGTGAGTTATATAGCAAGAGAGAAAAGGTTTACTATTCTTGGCTGGTAACCAGCCTAGGAGAAGGACAACTCTGGATCAAAAACAGACTGGGCGTGGGGTTAGCAACTGCTCCTCATAAAAATAAACTACCGGCTATGCAGAAACAGCAGCAGCAACAACTATCCTATAAATTATGTGACCATTAACTTTACAACTTTCATTGGCAACCAATGTAGGAGAAAGTGAACTCTGTATTTCAAAACAAGTTAGTCGTGGAGCTGGAAGCTTCTCCCAGGAAACACGTATTTACAGAAACCACAGTAGAAACACATAGCGTGGTGATACTGCGGATCTATATTCCACCGCCTTGGTTGTTACCCAGTATAGGATAAGTACAACTCTATATTCAAAACGGCTTAACCAGCGCAAGGGTTTACGCATCCAGCCAAGTTCCTTATATTTTGGATGTTTGTCAAGTCCTTTTGTTGAGATGTTTTATTTCATTGTATGGTCATGTATTGTTGTGGTAGGATCCACCTAATTTGCATAGTGGAGTACCGACCATATAAATATGGTTGGTACCGGGAAGACGGGGAGAGGAATCAAGAGATTCAATCCAGAGACTCTGCCCGACTGCGACTAAGTCAACACATTCTCCAGGAACGGTCTTCCCAAGAATATACAAAAGACTATATGTAAATATTGTGTACCTTTCTTGTTTCAATACATTTTGTTCTAAGTACATTTTGTGTTGTATTATTATTCCATGTTTTAGTCAAGTTTCAACATGTATATTAAAGAGTACTTACGAAGCCCTTTATTATTATGTGTCAGTAGTGGATAAGCCCCTGGCGAGTTCTATGACAATAAAACATCCGTAGAAATGTATCGTTAAATATTTGAGCTTAACAACTTTAACAAAATATTGTCATGACAATTATAAATATAAATGCTAGTCATTATTTTAAGAAGTAAGGGGTACAAATGAAAAGATTTTCCAGTTCACTGAAACAGACGTAAAGACGTTAAAATCTCCACTTCATACTTTCATTTTCTCGCTGAAAACAAGTAGCGTTTTTGTTATGCTTTTTGTGTTCCATAATTTTTGTGGTATCAGCAGGAGTCAGTAAGCACTTCTGTTTTTTTTTCTTTGTATCCTTCTTTTAAATATCGTACCTATGAACACTAATGGTCTTCCCCCAATCCTCATAAATACGTTGGACACTATTGTAAGGGGAGGTGATATGCTGTCTAAGTAGTCCACCGCTAGAAGTGGTTTACCTACTTCAAGCCGCTGGGGAGTATTTTATTTTGTTGATGTTATAAAGATTAGAATTTCATTCAGTAACCCTTTCTAGGTTGCAACAAAATAAAGAAAAAGAAAAAAGTGAAAAAAAGAAAGAGAAAAAAGTAAGAAAAAAAGAAAGTGTTATATACCGTACCAATGAACACTGTTGGATATGTCCCAATCCTCATAAATATGTTGGACACTATTGTAAGTGAGGGTAATATACTGTCTATGTAGTCCACCATTAACAGTGGTTTACCTATTTGATACCGCTGGCGAGTATTGTAATTTCTTTATGTTATAAAGATTACCATTTCATTTCCAACCTCCGTTTTGGTTATTGCTCATTCAGTAAACCTTTCTAGGTTACAACACTTTCTTTTGTCACTGAAACCAAGTAGCGTCTCTGATATGTATTTAGTCATTCCACGCGATCAAAACGGAATAGTTAATTATTTATTGACAGGGCGTAATGGTCGTGTGAACTATCGAAGGGAGGAACAAGCGCAATTATTATTATTATTGTTGTTCTTGTTGTCATGCTTTCTTCTATATTATCTGTAAATTGCTATAATTATATTATTATTGAATTATTATTATTATTGTTATTGTTATTATTATTATTATATTATTATTATTATTATTATTATCTGCAAACGAAGTTGTGATTTAAGTGTATTATTATTGTTATGCTATCACATTGGCAGCTAGGGCTCATTATTTACAGTTGAAATAGCTAGATGTGACCGCATGTTCTATGCTAGCGGTTTCTTCTCTCGTATTTCTCGCTTATGGAACTCTTTTCCGACTTCTTACTTTCCAGCCAACTTTGACAATTGAAATGAAATGTCAGTGGTTATCATTTGTCCTCTTAATACCTGTTCTTTTATTGTTTTCTCTCCTTGATAATGTCTTCCTTTTCTTATATTCTTTCGCACACGGAAACACCCTTGCGTCTTAGGGGCGTTACTGCCTTGCTTTTCCATTATTAAGCCTTCCTCCTTCTAAAAACACACATTCTCTTGTTTCCTCTTCATTTCTTTCTAATAAGCCCCCATTATTTCTTTTTTACTTACTAAACAATCGCTATAATCAAGTTCCCCGTGAAAACTCGAACTGTAGGTCAGCCATGATGAATGGCGTCTACACTTTTTGAACAGCTTATTGCGCCGACCCCCTCTCGGCCTTGTGCAAAACAAATTGTTTGTCGGCCAAAACATCAAAATGCAATTATCAAAACAATAACAAATACCAAAGAGAAAATAGGACAAGGGCGAGAGATTTGAGCTTTATCTTTTCCTTGTTTCTCAATCTTTGCCATTTTTTTTTAGTATTCGACGGAAATCAAGCTGAAAATTTAATTGTTTTTTTTTTTTGTGTGTGTGTGCATCATTCTTCTCTCACTTTTCATTGGTTGTTCTCGCCATGGTCAATTTCTTTCTTCCGTAGGTATAACTTAGATAGATAGATAGAAAGATAGATAGATATATAAAAAAAACTTAGACATCAAAACGCTGAAATAGATAGATAGATAGATAGATAGATATATAGATAGATAGATAGAAAAAAAACTTAGATATAAAAAAACTTAGATATCAAAAAACTTAGATATCAAAAAGCAGAGATAGATAGATAGATAGATATGAAAAACGTAGATAGATATCAAAAGATTTAGATAGATAGATAGATAGATAGATAGATAGATAGATAGATAGATAGATAGATATAAAAAACGTAGATAGATATAAAAAACGTAGATAGATAGATAGATAGATAGATATGAAAAACTGAGATAGATATCAAAAGATTTAGATAGATAAAAAAAAATTTAGATATAAAAAAAACTTAGATATCAAAAAACTTAGATATCAAAAAGCATAGATAGATAGATAGATAGATAGATAGATAGATATGAAAAACGTAGATAGATATCAAAAGATTTAGATAGATAGATAGATAAATATAAAAAACGTAGATAGATATCAAAAAGCTGAGATAGATAGATAGATAGATAGATAGATATGAAAAACTGAGATAGATATCAAAAGATTTAGATAGATAGATAGATAGATAGATAGATAGATAGATAGATAGATATAAAAAAAAACGTAGATAGATATCAAAAAGCTGAGATAGATAGACAGACAGACAGACAGACAGACAAGTTCCTCTATCGCCCGGTTTACACCCGCTTCCTTTTATTCTGTTTCGGATTGGGTTTCCCTTTTTTCTAAAGTCTTTCAATTTTCTTTCACTCCCAGTATCATTATCGCCTAGCTTAGGGTGCATAGATCTTTTCTTTTCTTTTCTTTTTCTTTATAAACCCGTTTTCTTTTTCTTTTCTTTTTTTTCTTTCTTTCTTTCTTTCTTTCTTTCTTTCTAAGTTTTTTAATTCACTTTCACTCCCATTATAATTATCGCCTTGCTTGAGCTGAATAGAATTTTAGAAAAAAAAAAATTATATATATATATATATATATATATATATATATATATATTAAGACAATTTTAATACAATTCTCCAGATATGAATGTACGAGAGAAAAATCATGGAGAATTGTAGTTTAAAAACAGTAAAATCGACCTTGCTAACTGAAACGCTCCTCTATGGCCCAATCGGTAAAAGCACGTCAGGCTATATGACGGTTCTGTATAGGATACAAGTTCGATTCCTGTCGGAGGACGCACATTGTCTATGAAAATTTCTCGGTCATTTAGGCCGTTAAATGTCGTTAATACTGTTTATTATAAATCGAGCATTTACTTAAATATTTGTATCTATAAAAGAACGTATAAACAAAAATGTCTTAAAATAATTGTCGGACATTGTCCATTTCATTATATATATATATATATATATATATATATATATATATATTAGAAACAAAAAAAAATCATTTTATATAAAATCTTTCCATCGTTCCCGAATAAGTGCCAATGAACTGTATGCTTTTTGGGTGTTATATTTAGCGGGTGGTTGTTATATTTAGCGGATAGATGTTATATTTAGCGGGTGGGGGGAGATAGGAAAACTCAGTTAAACTCTTACCCTCTATGTATACTGAGCCTTCATATCTTTTAAATGTTATTTTTTGCAAGAAAGGCAAGGACATTCTCTGATTAGCCATTGTCGGAAATACACGAAATGTTTCATTTTCTATAAATATTTTTTTGCAATATGAGACGAGATATTGTAATTTATTTACACTATTTCCATTGTTCGGACGCTTTTCTACTTATCTCCGTATTTTCGGTATATCAGGTCCCTACCGATTCTTCAATATCTGTTTATATTTCAGTTCGAAATTCAAATCACTTGAAGAAGCCTGAAACGTCGTTTATCATACTCATTATAAAACTTAGGTTGTGTGTGTGTGTGTCTGTACGTTTATATATTGGATCGGATTTCCTTTTTCATCGTTTCTTCTTTTTTTTTTTTTTTTTTTTTTTTTTTTTTGCTCCATTGATTTAAGTTTTGTTTCTGGTGCTTGGCCTTCACGTTTTCCTCCATTCATCCCCACCCACCACCTTCTTAATTCTTTTTCCTTTCATTTCTGTTTGTCACCATTTATTCCTTCGTTCACCAAAATCGTATTTCTTTTTCTGAAACATTTCCTTCTTATTTTTTTTCCTTTTACATTAGCCTCTTAGCATTCTGTCTTTATTTTCCTTTTTCAGCCTTCATTCTCCATTTTCTTTCAGTTATGTTTGGTATATCTCTCTGCGTCGTAGCACAGTTCTCCGCGTTACGGGTCTGCTAAGCAATGCTCCATGTTCACCAGTTGTTCTCTATTTGTGCTTGTCTATCTCATTTGCATACGATACTACACCTCCCTGGATCGGAGAGGTCGTATACTCTTGTTTTTTCTTTTATTATTCCTGATTATTCTTATACTGTGCTGTACTTCCTCTTACTTTCCCTTTAATGGTGATCTGCTACAATTTTGGGATACATTATGTACTAGTGAGTTAGCCCAAATGACTTGACTCACTTTATAGTCCACCAATAGTAGGTTAACCAATCAGAAGATGTAGAATATTCAATCCGTCGTGTACAAAGGCGGCCATTTTGTTTACTCTATCCGAATGTCCAGTGCCAGCTTGTCAGGCGTAGAGGAACAGTTCTGCTCTGCTACTTTTATCGAAATATCCACTGCTAACCTGAACAACGCTTCCCTACTGTCTTCGAAATATTCACTGCTAACCTCTAGATTCTATACTCGAAGAGGACCGTCATCATGAACAATATGATCTCGGCTTTTCTTCATTTTCTTCTTCACTCTCGTCCGTCTTTTCATTCTCACTTTCTTCCATTTCCTCTTCTGTTCGACTTGTGGGACTTTCTGTCTCTTCTTGTCCTTGATCTTCCATTTCCACTTCATCCAGTTCGTTTCTGCTTCTGAATTGATCTGCATAAGCCAGTATATGTTGTCCCTTCTCTTCAAGTATAGCCGTGTTGTGTTCTTTTTGTATCAGGAAACTTGCTTCTTCTGGATCAGACTCGTTATTCTTTCTATACAATGTCTTTTCTTTCGTTAAAAAGAACATATTTATGGGGGCTCTTATTTGTCTTCCCATTAATACGAAAGGGCTCAGTTTTCTTCCTGCATGCGGAATGGGTGTGTAACTGAGGAGCATTTTTGGTAGATACGCTTCTATGTTTTCATTAAATGGTGAGAAGGTTTTTAATCCCATTTTTAACGGTTGCACCATTCACCAGTTGTTCTCTATTTATACTTGTCTATTCTTTTGCATACGATAATCTTTCATTAATCATTCCTTTCTCTGTCTCTTCTTCTTATCATCATATCTTCCCTAGCCTTTTATCTTTCTTTCTTTCTTCCTTTTTCAACGCTCTTTCATTCCAAATTCATTCATTCTTTTTTTCGCTATTAATTTCCTTTAGCTTCCCTTCACCAGAAGGATTTTCTGTTTTTGCCCAGTTTTATTCTTTCATTTCAAGGGATTTTACATTCATTACTTTACTTTTACCTTTCCAAAATGTCTTTTTTCTTTCTTTTTTTCTTTCTTTTTCTTTCTTCATTTCTTTTTTTTTATTTCTTTATTTGTTTATTCATTTGTTTATTTTCTCTGTTTTTTTTTCATTTTAAATACTCTGGTCATTTACCTCTCTCTCTCCTCTCTCTCTCTCTCTCCCTTCTCTCTCTCTATTTCATTCATTCTTTCTCGATTTATTTTTCTTTTCCCCGAATAATCCTTTTTCAACCCTATTTCCATTCTTTCTTTATTTATTTGCTTTCACTTAATTCTTCATTAAAATTTTCTGTTCGTTTTCCTTTTCACTCTTTCTGTCTTTCTTTCTTTCTATCTTTATTTATTTGATTTCTTTTTCTCTCTTTCTTTCTTTCTTTCTTTTCCCTGAATTTCCTATTTAAAAAGCCTCTCACTATTTTCTTTCTTTCTTTATTTATTTATTTATTTATTTATTTATTTATTTATTTTCCCTGAATTTCCTATTTAAAACCCTCTCAGTATTTTTCTTTCTTTCCTTCTTTCTTTCTTTTCTTTCTTTCTTTCTTTTTCTTCCCTGAGTTTTTCTTTTAAACTTTCTTTCCCTTCGTTGGTTCTTTGTTTCTTTCCTTCTTTCTTTCTCGCTTTGTTGATTTTTTATTATAAATGCACTAGCCACTTTTTTTCTTTCTTTCTTTTTTCTTTCTTTCTTTCTTTTTCCTGAATTTCCTATTTAAAACCCTCTCAGTATTTTTCTTTCTTTCTTTCTTTCTTTCTTTCTTTCTTTCTTTCTTTCTTTCTTTCTTTCGTGCGTTCGTTCTCTTCCTTGTTCGATTTCTTTTAACACTTCTTTCCCTTCGTTGCTTGTTTCTCTCTTTCTTTCTTTCTTTCTTTCTTTATTTATTTGAATTCTTTTTCTCGCTTTCTTTCTCTTTTCACTGTTTGTTTCTTTCTTGATATTTTTTTATTTGATCTGATTTTCTTTTAATTGTTCATTTTAAAACCTCTGGCCATAATCCTTTTTCTTTCTTTCTTTCTTTCTTTCTTTCTTGCGTTCTTTCTTTCTTGAAATTCTTTCTTTCTTTCTTCATTTTTTAATTTATTTTTTCTTAATTGTTCATTTGAATACCTCTCGCCATTTTCCTTTTTCTTTCTTTCTTCCTTTCTTTCCTTCTTTCTTTCTCGCTTTGTTGATTTTTTATTATAAATGTGCTTGCCACTTTTCCTTTCTTTCTTTCTTTCTTTCTTTCTTTCTTTATTTATTTATTTTTTATTTATTTTCCCAGAATTTCCCATTTAAAACCCTCTCAGTATTTTTCTTTCTCTCTTTCTTTCTTTCTTTCTTTCTTTCTTTCTTTCTTTCTTTTTTTTTTTCTTTCTTTCTTTCTCTTCCCTGAGTTTTTCTTTTAAACTTTCTTTCTCTTCGTTGCTTCTTTGTTTCTTTCCTTCTTTCTTTCTATCTTTGTTGATTTTTATTATAAATGCACTAGCCACTTTTTTCTTTCTTTCTTTCTTCTTTCTTTCTTTCTTTCTTTTCCCTGAATTTCCTATTTAAAACCCTCTGACTATTTTTCTTTCTTTCTTTCTTTCTTTCTTTCTTTCTTTATTTATTTATTTATTTATTTATTTTCCCTGAATTTCCTATTTAAAAACCCTCTCAGTATTTTTCTTTCTTTCTTTATTTATTTATTTATTTATTTATTTGATTTCTTTTTCTCGCTTTCTTTCTCTTTTCACTGTTTCTTTCTTTCTTGATACTTTTTTATTGGATCTGATTTTCTTTTAATTGTTCATTTTAAAACCTCTGGCCATGTTCCTTTTTCTTTCTTTTTTTCTTGCATTTTTTTTTCTTTCTTTCTTCATTTTTTAATTTATTTTTTTCTTAAGTGTTCATTTGAATACCTCTCGCCATTTTCCTTTTTCTTTCTTTCTTCCTTTCTTTCCTTCTTTCTTTCTCGCTTTGTTGATTTTTTATTATAAATGCGCTTGCCACTTTTTCTTTCTTTCTTTCTTTATTTATTTATTTATTTATTTTCCCTGAATTTCCCATTTAAAACCCTCTCAGTATTTTTCTTTCTCTCTTTCTTTCTTTCGTTCTTTCTTTCTTTCTTTCTTTCTTTCTTTCTCTTCCCTGAGTTTTTCTTTTAAACTTTCTTTCCTTTCGTTGCTTCTTTTTTTCTTTCCTTCTTTCTTTCTCGCTTTGTTGATTTTTTATTATAAATGCACTAGCCACATTTTTCTTTCTTTCTTCTTTCTTTCTTTCTATCTTTCTTTCTTTCTTTCTATCTTTTCCCTGAATTTCCTATTTAAAACCCTCTGACTATTTTTCTTTCTTTCTTTCTTTCTTTCTTTCTTTCTTTCTTTCTTTCTTTCTTTCTTTCTTTCTTTCTTTCTTTCTTTCGTTCGTGCGTTCCTTCTCTTCCGTAGTTCTTTTTTAAACCTTCTTTCCCTTCGTTGCATGTTTGTTTGTTTGTTTCTTTCTTTCTTTCTTTCTTTCTTTCTTTCTTTCTTTTCCCTGAATTTCCTATTTAAAACCCTCTCACTATTTTCTTTCTTTCTTTCTTTCTTTCTTTCTTTCTTTCTTTCTTTCTTTATTTATTTATTTATTTATTTATTTTCCTATTTAAAACCCTCTCAGTATTTTTCTTTCTTTCTTTCTTTCTTTCTTTCTTTTAAACTTTCTTTCCCTTCGTTGGTTCTTTGTTTCTTTCCTTCTTTCTTTCTCGCTTTTTTGATTTTTTTTTTATAAATGCACTAGCCACTTTTTTCTTTCTTTCTTTCTTCTTTCTTTCTTTCTTTCTTTCTTTCTTTCTTTCTTTCTTTCTTTTCCCTGAATTTCCTATTTAAAACCCTCTGACTATTTTTCTTTCTTTCCTTCTTTCTTTCTTTCTTTCTTTCTTTCTTTCTTTCTTTCTTTCTTTCTTTCTTTCTTTCGTTCGTTCTCTTCCGTGAGTATTTCTTTTAAACCTTCTTTCCCTTCGTTGCATGTTTGTTTGTTTCTTTCTTTCTTTCTTTTCACTGACTTTCCTATTTAAAACCCTCTCACTATTTTCTTTCTTTCTTTCTTTCTTTCTTTATTTATTTATTTATTTATTTATTTATTTTCCCTGAATTTCCTATTTAAAACCCTCTCAGTATTTTTCTTTCTTTCTTTCTTTCTTTTTTCTTCCCTAGTTTTTCTTT